GGAGGGCAGGACAGAGCGCTGGGAGAGGAAGGGGCTTGCGGGGCTCAGACCGTTACAGCTGGAGCCTCGCGGACCCCTGACCCAGAAAAGGCCCCACGGAAAGACTGCCCAGACGAGCTCAAAATCTGCGGTTAGTCCGCCTGCCACGCACACCTCTGCCCGACTCTCTCCGGTGTGCCATGGTGCCCTCGGTGCCTCCGTGCCCACTGTCCACGCACCGGGCAGCAACCAGGGCCAGGCAGACCTGGGTTCCATCTTTGTTGCTTCCCAGGGCCTGTGGTCTAGGTATGTGGCTTATGTCCCCAGCCTCGTTTATGATCTGCCTCAGTGTTACAAAGACACCACCACCTTGTCACGTTCGTACAAATGATGCAGCTACCACAGACCCAGACCCGTAATTCAGCTCCATAGGAAGCCCCCTGGGGGCGCAACCTCGCCAAGCCTCCGTTTCTTCTTCAGAAAAAAAAAAGAAGTAACCACTCACACATGTAGAGTACTTGGCAAAGTGCCTGGGGACAGAGTGTCCCTGTCATTCTCTTCTTCCGTTCCCTCTATCCTTAATCTCTCCCAGTTCTTCAAACACGCTCTTCCACAAACTATCACCTCCCTGTCACTGCCTCCCGACTTCCCCGCCCACAAGCTGACATGTTCTTGGGAGGCAAGGCACACAGCTGCTTCCACTTTAACATGCTGAAGAGCGAGTTCCAAATCTTTTGGGAAGCCTGAGCCCTCTCTCTGGCGCCCTTTTGTTGACTGGTCAGATCATAACATCATCTTTGCTGTATCTTTTGGTGTCTCCCCACTTCAGATTAGACCGTAAGCCAAAAAAGTTCAGATGAAGGCCCAATATGTGGTCTTTTAGCTCCAAGACTAGTTTTATCTATCAAACAGGGAAAAGAATGAGAAGACGAATTATATTGCCTCCACAGAACAGCAGGCATGATACCTAACACACTGTAAGAATTAAAAGACCGGTGCTACCATGAAGAACTCAGGGACACAACGTCTGGCACCAACACCTTATCAATCGCTCTAAGACGGCATAAGCCACTTACCAGGGCCCTGTGGCTGCTCTGTAGCTTCTCTACCACGTCCGAAGGCCAAGTTGTACCCATAAGGCCCTCTCATCTGCCCACGGCTCCTGCCCTGCCCACCCTTCAGCTCCCGGAGGCCTTCTTCCCAAGGCCCTTCGGCTCACCCAAGTTCGTATCCACACTGCCTCCCCCGACAGAGCTCCGATCTTCGGTCCTTTACACCAGCCTCCCTCCGGCCAACCGGCCTCAAAAATGTGCCGTCCTCCTAGGCTTCCTGGTGGGCAGTGCCTTCCCAGACCCTGGTCCTCAGCGGCGCCATGTGGACCAGTGTACAACACCTGGGCCCTTCACTTGGCTCTTCACGTGGCCAACGCTCAGTCCCTCAGGACTCATGAGTTCTGTGCTTTCAAATGTGCCTCCCTGTTGAGTCCTGAACTTTCAGGGGTTCTGTGCTTGCAGGCTCACTCTCAGCCCTGCAAGGTGGCACAAACACTCGTTACCTGACATCCATGTTCCTGGCTACTCGGCCTCGTTTCCGGCCTCATACTGCAACGGGGGTCCCTTCCACAGCCTACTCAGCACCACGCTGTCAGATTTTTGTGCTTTCTGTTGATTCTGCTGTTTAAATTGGCCCCAGGTATAGTGTTGAAGTGACTTCTAGTGTCGCTGAGCACACGAAGGCTGACCCTTGTGGAGAATACACGCATGTGAGCTGAGCTTCATTTGGGCGTGAGTCACGGTGTCCTTAGCCACGAGGAGTTCAGTGCTACTGAGGTAACAGCACCATACATCCAGAAAAGGGAAGTGGACATTGGTCAATACCAACACGGGCCTGCTCTGGTTAGGGTTAAAGGACTATCAGCTACCAGAAAAGGAGGAAAGGGGGCTAAAATCTGTGCGCTCCGTTCGGCCTCATGTCTGAAGGATCATGACAGATTAGACACGAGACAGCAGGGTTGTAAGGCCGAAAGCCAGAGACTTACAGGGTCAGGAAAATGCTCAGTCCTTCTTGGCTAGTGTTGTACTATACAGAAACATTAAGTACTGAGACACTAAGTACAGAAATAGTAAGTACTTACTCACATGACATACATACAGGTTCAATAAGGCGTCTTTAAGCAGAAACATGTAACGTCAACTTATACGTAAGTTGACAATAACATAAGTCGTCAATAATAAGTCATGAGTAGAGCTTCTCAGGACCCTAAACCTCTATCTCCTCAGGAGCATGGCCTCAGCACTCAGTGACAGACCGCGCAGCAGTCTGACTACCATGAAGGAGAGCACTGGCTGCTGTGGCTCTGCCACACCACCACCTCGCCCGGGTGTGAGGACGGAGCTCCTGGAGATGCAGACCGCACGCAGCCTGTGCTCCAGGATGGTGAACGAGGATGAGGGGAGACGCAGGAAGTGCTCAGAGAGGCTTTTCTTTTCAATGCCTTGTCCAATCCCAGTCTCACTGCATCTCAGATGGTGGAAGTGCACGTGCATGTGTGTGAGCACGCACACACTATCTTACACACTTTTTTTTTGAGACAGGGTCTCGCTATGCAGTTCAGGCTGACCTTGAGCTCAATTTGTAGCCCAAGCTGGTCTCGAACCTGCAACAACCCTCCTGCCTCAGCCTCCCAAGTGCTGGGATTACAGGAGTGCGCCACCATGCCCGGGCACATGCATGCTTTAGGTCGGTAACAAAGATCTTACTTTTCATCAAAGCATCCCATCCCATAAACTTTTATGAGATTTCCAAAATGGGAATGTAGGCTCTATAAGGCAAGGATCTTTGTTCTGTTCTTGGGATTTCACAAAAGTGGCTAAAACAGTGCCTGGGGATTTGTAGGTGTCCAGTAAACAGTGGAAAGAAAATAATAAATCAGAAGAAAAAAAAAAATCCTGGGACAAGAAAGTGAAAACCCACATTTGACATAACTTTGAGTCTCCATATCCCACCTTGGCAAAACCTCAGCCTTTCATTCTCCACTCTGGGAGGGTCTTTCACAAGAAAAAACATCTGGGGCTTCCCAGCAAAGGAAGACCACGATACTCCGTTCCTCAGGGATTAACACAAGGCTTCTGGGGGTTATGTGATACCCTTGACTAGTCTCCTTACATTGGAAACAGGACTCTCCAGCCATCTAAACCTCCCACCCCACCTGCCACAGTATCCCTTCAGGCTTGGAGTGTTTTGGATCAGGCAAAAGGTAAGCCAGCTGTTCCCTTCTCACTCTTGGTCTTCGGCACATTTCATTCTCATAAGCACTGAGTATGTTCCCAGATGCTTAGGATCACTCCTGCACGCAGTCTCCGTAGCTCATGGCCAGTGAAGGTCTGGTTCCTACTCTACCTGTACACTTTTTTGTTGTTGTTGCAGTACTGGGATTTTTCATTTGTTTTATAGCCAACAGAACTACCACAGACACAGAAAATTTGATAGAAAAATACAACTGGAATAATAACGTATTTCTTGGACCCTCATACTTTTATATGTACTAATTCAATAAATTAAATTAGTACAACAGTAAATTAAAAAATGGCTGTAATACGCTGCAGGTGGAGAGTATTCTTTGCTCGCCTCCTGAATTGGGACCGGCAGTGTGACTTCCTCTAGCTACAAGGATGCTAGCAAATGGGAAACAAGCAGAGACTTGAGAAGGGTGTGTGTGTTTTTTGTTCTTGGTATCCCAACTCCATGTGAAAAGGACCAGGCCAGCCTGTCGGATGAGACACATGGGGCCCAGTCACCCCTGCTGGTCCAGTTAAGAACCAACCAAGTGCTTGACAAACAGGGCCATCCCTGATCAGCCAGTCCTCGGCCACCCCGCCAGCACACGGGACATGCATGAGACGGCAGAAACTCTGCCCAGCATACAAGCATGAGCTAAATGTTTTCAGCTGCTAGATTTTGGGGTGGTCTGGTTTGTAGCAAAAGCTGATATGCAAGTCCATTTTATGGATGAAGAAATGCTGGCACAGACATTAAGGCCCCACAGCTATCGAGTGCGATTTGGGATTTGAAGCCCGGCAGTCTAACTCCAGAGGCCAAGCTTTGCCATCTGTCCCAGAGCCAAGCCTCTCTGCAAATATCAAATGTCTCCCCACTCACCTATTTTTCCTAAAGGATGTTAAATGTAAAGCATGGCCTTAGGTGGCCCCACAAATGCCCAAGAGGCAACTCCGAGCACTGACTGACCACGACATTTTGTGTTTACGATGCTCCTCAAGTTCCCAAAGTGCTCGGTTCTCTTCTGATACTTTCCAACCATTTAAAAAAAATAACAAAATTGCCCCACACCCATGAACAAATGGGTGGGTGAGAGGGTGAACAAAGTGGGGTGCATACAGAGCATCCCGCCTTAAAAGGGGAGGAAATTCTGATGCATAGTACGCTGTGGGATGACCCAATCACGAGACAACAAGTACTGAGCGATTCCTAAAGAGTGTACATGAGGTTAAATTCACAGAAACAGAAGGTAGAAGGGTGGTTGCCAGGCGCTGGGGGAAGGGAGAAATGCAGACTTCCTGTTTAGTGGATACTGAATTTCAGTGTGAGATGAAAAGTTCTGGACATGAGAGATGGTCAGGGCTGCATGTGATGCATTTAATTCAACCGAATATACCCTTAAGAACAGCGAACATGGCAATTTTTATGTTATGTTTTATCACAATTTCTCTTAAAAAGGGAAAAAATGACAATTTAGACTGACAGAGACCAAGAGGTCAAGGCCTCTGTTGGATCAGCTAGACTCCAGAGAACCACGTAGGTGAAAACCACTTACATTCAGTGCTCCTGAGTCCCACGGCCACCCCTCGCCAGCCACAACCTACCACTCGCCGCTGGCCAGATGGGCTGGCGGATACGTCAAAGCAGCCTTGAAAACAAGCTGGACTCAAGGACAAAAAGCTCAAACAAATCAAAGCCAGTTCCCTGCCCCCAGACCAGCACAGAAGAAATGCTATGCCAACTCTGCTCAGCAGATTCGCATTTATTTTCAAGATCACAGGATTCGATTAAGACTCGCAGATAGGAAAATGAATTGACATCGAGAACAACGAAGTCAGTATACACTCTGATGGACACATAACAATTTCTCCTGACCTGAGAACTTTATAAACTCTTTACAGAAAATCCAGGAACGGGGAAGGCTTTCCTCTGTATAAGTACCTGCTGATGTCAGGCAGACAAACTGGTCGGATGAATGACCGGACGACACGGGCATTCCAGACATATAAAACCGTTACTACAATACAATCGCTGACTTAAAAGAGAGTAGGGGGTACACCAGCACGCAGAACTTCTTTTTCTTTTCTAAAATTTCCCCAGTAAACCCTAATTTTTTTTAAACGAAGCTGAAGCCCAAGCTCATGTAAGGAGTTCACTGTCAGACACACTGTCACATCAGTCCCAAGCGCCTCGCCGGTCCCTTGACTCTGAATGTCTCACAAGCACGCTGAGGCTCATGACACACGCTTGGAGGAGCTGCTCTGAGGGAATCTCTCAGACAGTCGCCCTTGCGGTGGATACTCAGATGGGTCTGCAAGTACAAAAAAAGGAAGGGGGTGGGGAGAAGGCCAGGGGCAGAAAACAGGAAGCCCTGCTTGGCACAGCTGGAGGCGGACGCCACCCACTTCTCCACCAGGAAGGTCAGAGGAACAGTCACAGAATCCGGTCCAAGTCCAGGTGACCCGCCATCCACAGAGACGAAGCACGACATCCGTGTCAGCCTCAGCCTTTGAGCATCCTTCCAGTTCCTCGACTAGAGGCCAACAGAGTCCCTTGGGGCTGAGGACAAGGGGTGACTTTAGCCATTCTGCACTCTCCTTCCCCACCTGCAAGCAGGGAGGAGGTTATGGGGAGGATCAGCAAGCACAGAGCTGGCACAGCTCCCTCCGCATCCATCCTGAAGTGAGTCAGTCAGCCCCCGGACCTGGGCAGTATCTCATTAGACCCGATGACTGAGAGGCTTCCCTGAGGGACTCAGGGGCTGTCGTGATGACTGTTCTTGCCGGCCAAGAGCAGGCATGCGAGGACGGAGAGAGGTCAGACTCCTCTGCTTCCCAGCAGACTGGGCGCCTCCCAAACGCAGTTCCTCCCGTCACTTTTCCCAACGACAATCTGGCGTACAGTCAAGGAGTGGTATGGAATCTACTCCAGGATGCGCCATGGTCAACACCAAGTGAGATTTGGATGAACCCAGCCCAGACAAAGCTGGATTTCCTCCCTGCTTGCCAAACTGCCCAGCAGTGAAGAAGCCGGGGGCAAAGGGCCACGGAGAGGAGGAGCACATCAAGAGAGGCAAGGGGTGAGGCTCTGATCCCTCAGTGGCTCCTCAGCACTTTATTCACCTGTTTGTCCATTTACTCGTTTGCTCAGGATCTGGAAACCTTCCGTATGCTGGCAGGGTAAACACGCGACAGACCAAATGGGGTTCCTCGTGGAATTTCACTTATGATAAACAAGCGAAGTGTAACAAGTCAGACACTGACATGTGCCACTGAGGAAAAGCAAGTCAAGGAACGGGGGCTGAGGAGACGGCTGGTGAGCTGGGAGCTTCCATGATCAATACATGGACTATGAGAAGGTTTCATGAGTGAATATGAGAAAGTTTCACTGATAAAATGACATCTGTGAGGAAACTTCAGAGACAGAGTAGCGGGCAGTGAAAACACCAGGACTGGGACGATGACAAGCAGAGAAACAGAAAGTTCAATGACTCTGAGGCAGGAGCAGGTCTGACATTAGCACAGCCCAAGCCGTTGTCCATCAGCCGGGGCCAACCTGGAGCAGCACGGGACACAAAGGGCCGAGTCATCTCCCTGCTAACCTGAGATTCGGGGCTCAGGCAAGAAAACAGGGTGAGGGGAAGCCACAGCCACAACTGCAAGGAGATGCTTTCACAGACTTTCCACAGAGCCTTCTCCTCTGAAACAGCGTGTGGGCTGCTTTTAGGACAGACTGAGAATCCCTTATCCAAAACGCTTAGGACTGGGAGCATCTCAGCTTTTAGTTTTTTTGAGGGGAAATATTTGGATGTACATAATGAGATATTTTTGGGACAGGATTCAACTCTAAACAGGACATTCATGTTTCATATATACTTCATATAATAGTCTGAAGGTAATTTCATACATTTTTATTAATTTTGTGCACAAAACTCAGTTTTATGGTGTGAAATTTCCCACTTTTGGCACGTTGGCACTCAGAAAGCGTGATGACGTGTGTCTAGATGTGCCCTCAAAGCCTCACGTAGTCATAGGTGGGGCTTTTCACAGCTGGCTGGTTCTAGAGTGTGTGATGCTGGGATCTATTCATTGTGCATGCTAGGATCAAGGCCACTAGGATTACGGGTGAGTGCTGCCCTCCCTGAGTAGTCTGGTTAAGATATAAGGGATTGAAAGAGCTGTGGTCACCCCTTGTCGCTTTGCTATCTTCCGCCTGCCATGCAGTGTTTCTCTGTGGTGCCTCTTTGCCATCCACCCTGCCTTGGAGCCAGCTATGGACTGAAACCTCTACAAACTGTGAGCTAAATAAACCTTTCCTCCTCTAACTTTGGGTTAAATTTTGTCCCAGCAAAGAGAAAAGTAACTAAGAAACTAAGCAACTAAGAGACTAAGTAACTAAGGAAGAATTTTTCAAATTTTGGAGCATTTTGGATTTCAGATTTTTGGATTAGCAATGTTCAACCTGTAGATACTTACGGGACTGACAGAATCAGAGGACAATAAATTACAGCAGTGAAGACTTTCAGAAAGGGGATTTCATAATTTCCTGGGTATTTATCCAGTGTTTAAATGGAATTACCAGAAATCTCTCCTCAAGACTAACCTTTACCCTTTGTTCAGTTTCAGGTCAAGGATACTATCCTTGGGCTACCTTGGGCTACACGTCCCCGAACACGGGACACCCGTAAGACTGCTGGATTGTGGACAATTTGCAGGGACAATGCCTCGGGTTTCTAAATTTGGGGAGACTGGAAAGTACCATGTGAAAAGCATTTCCTCTCCCCGGAGCAAGTGAGACCTGGGTGGGGTCCAGAGAAAAGACGGAATGATTATTTGGACTCACTGCAGACCCACAAGTAATTAGGGCTTTGGCGTTCTATGCCCTAGGTCACCAGACCATGAAAGGAAGAGGGTTCCAGGAAGTCATTCTGTCTGGGGATAAAGGTAAAGGCAGCATATACGGCAAGTCCCACCTGAAACCTCAGCACAGGGCTCAGTGTAAAGCAAACAGAAGACTCATGAGCCGGGTGTGGTGGCACAAGCCTGTAATCCCAGCACTCGGCAGGCTGAGGCAGGAGGCCAGTTTCGAGTTCCAGGCCAGCCTGGGCTACAAAGTGAGTTTAAGACCAACCTGAATTGCATAGTGAGACCGTGTCTCAAACAGACAAAAAAAAAAAAAAAAAAGATAAGACTCAGCAAAATTGTCAAAGCAGCAAGGGGAATCCCTCAATGAAAAATCTGAGAGGTGCATGGAGACACGGAAGAGAGGAAATCCTGGCCCCTCATCCTCTATGGGTCTGACCTTCATATGTTTCCGGATTTCTGGGCCTCAATTCCCCATGTTACATGAATCTCCCCTGTGGTGCCCGAAATCCACAGGTTACACACATCCAGTACCTTGTCAGAAACATTTCTGCTACTCACTAAGCATTTTCTTGCCTGTGGAGACTTGTGAAGGCCGTATCTCCAGTCACATCATAAATGTGTCACAGGATGGCACCCGGTCTTTTATTACAGAGCTATAATCTGGACCGGCTGCTTAGATCTTCTGAGAAATCTGCACTCTTATCTCAAGACACACCACAGGGTTGGTGATTCATGCTGAAGGGACACCGGGCCGGAAGCCCAAGTGGGCTAAGGTGTGTGAAAGCCCCCGGCCCAGGGCCTTGTGCTCAGCAGCACTGGTGACTGGTAGGTTCTCTTCTTCCCACACTGAGCCTGGTTCCCAGAGGCTGGGAGGTGACACACAGCACACTGCACCACATCACATCAGTGGCGACCAAAGGAAACAACTCTGAAACCAAAACCAGTTTCCACACAGTCCCCAGCAATTGCCAGAGTAGAACTCTCCCTCCTACCCTCCCCACTGGCTGCCCATTCTTGGTCTCCATTCTTTGGCTCCTTAGCTGAGCCTCTGGGACAAAGAGCCAGTATTGCAGGGATCTGTTCCTCCTGCTGCCTCACAGGAGAGGAGGAGAAACACCCCTGATGTCCTTGATGTGCTCGCACGTCCCTGTAACTGGGCGCAGCTGCCCCATGCCTGGGCACCAACTCAAGCAGCAAGCTGGCGCCCACTTGCAAGGTCATCCAAATGCCAGCGCCCACACCCTATTAATAGCACAGAAGCTAGAATGAAGCAGACAGGAGGACGGAAAGAAAAGGCTGGCTTCAAATGCAGCTTGCACAGTCACATGGCAAGAGCACATCTAACCTTCGGCAGCAGATACAGAAGGTGAGAGGTCCCCAAAAGGCAGCTGGGGTGGTAGCAGAGGAAGGGGAGTCACCGGCCAGTTCGCCTTACCTGCCTTGCCACCCTCCGTGCCTCCCAGTAAGGCTTTGAGTCTTCCACAGCTTTGCCAATTTTCTTCACCAGCTCCTCCAGTTTCACCGTCGCCTCAACCAGAACAGAACGGAACTTCTGCCGGGCATCCTGCAGCCAGGGGAAATGGGGGAAATTCAGCTCAGCCTTAAGGAGGAATCTGCACTCACCCGCTTCACCTAAGCAGATACACCAGGAGGGACTTTTCCCACCACCCAAACCCCTCAGTAAGACTGTGCAAGGTACTGCCCAGGTTAGCGTCCTCCAACGAACGCCCTGCCGTGCTGAAGTGGCCTGGTGTCAGCCCTGCCTGGGACGCCCCCACCAGTCATGCGCAGCTACTGAGCACTTGCACCTGCCTAGTGTAATGAGGAAATGAGCTTATCATCTAATTAAGTACATTTAAAAGTTAAACCGGGCACAGTGGCGCAAATTTGTATTTCTGGCACTCAGGAGGCTGAAACAGGAGAATTGTGCATATGAGGACAGCTTGGGCAACTTAGTGAGACCCTGCCTCAAAAACCACAAGCAAAAAGCAATTTAAAATATTAATGTGGCCAGAGATGACCACACAGGACAGCAAAGAGTAGAATGAAATGCTCTGTCCAGGTCCTTGGGGAAAGAACAAGCGACCCGACTGTCTCTGGCAGCCCCTGTCAGTACGATGGTGCCATTTCCCATACTCCCTGGAAGTCATCAGCCACATGACCTATTAGGCAGCCTTAGATGCTGAGTGCAAATTTACTGCACACAGGGCCCTGGGCGTGGTCCCGCCCTCAGGACGCTGTTAGTCTGGTGTAAGGTAGGCAATGCAGCCCATTCTAGAAATCCGGATGCCAGGATGGGGTGGTACAGACTGAACCCAGCAGCAGAGACCTCCCCAGACCTGGTACTAGAGGGAGGCACACGGACCACCCCTGAGGAGGGGCATCTGCACAGAAGCCTGAAGCACACATGGACAGGCGGGGAGGGAGAGGAAGTACTGAGATCCAAGCAAGCAGCAAGGCCCCTGCGCAGCCAGGAGGGGGCAGGGAGCCAGAGTCTGGAATGCGGAGAATGACAAGAGATACGGTGACCCCCCACCCACGTTGGAGACAGCAACTCAGGCCTCTGCAGGGATTTGGAAAGACAGGAACGTGAAGCACATTAAGCTTATTTTCATCATTGAATCCAGAAACCAAGACCATGAGACACAAGCGGGGGAAAAAAATGGGAAAAAAGAAATTTGGTCCAATATGTCCTTGGAGGACACACTGGGATTCAGGTCAGGATTTCATAGACTCAGCTTACCCTGTAACTCCTTTCCCCTTGTCATTTGCTTGACAGAGCCATACCCGGATGGTGTGTGTGTGTGTATGTGTTTGTGTGTGTATGTGTGTGCATACACTCACGTGTGCTGACGTAAGTTTGAGAAAGGGGAAATGGAAACTCAAGATGAGGAACAACTTGCGATCATCAGCCAAGGGGCTCCCCCAAGACTAAATAGCTATGCTTCTGTTACAGCACACGTTCCATTAGCCAGAAATAGCTTCCCTCACAATTATCTGAAAATGTGTATTTCTACAGCTGGGGGTGGTGG